GTTGTCTAGGCTAGTAAGAGCGAGAACGCCGAGACAATAGTCGGTCTTCGTACCCTCTGACGTGACTGCGTCGTTGACGGAGTCATTCACACAGTTTCCTCCTGGCGAACCCTCCTGGAAGGAGGGGTGTGACTGGCTCACACACGCCCGCATGACAGCTGACTCAGTTGATGCGAATGAATGAAAAAAGACGCCGTGTCCAGAGATGACTTCACTCGGGCCCGACGTGAGGGATGGACACGAATCCACGATCCCAACGCCGAGATCCTGCGCATCTTTGCCACGGCCGTCGGGACCTGGAGTTTGCCACCACCACGGCGGACGAGCTCCTCACGATGGCACAGAGCTTCCATCGCTGAGCCGGCACATTGTGGGGAGTCGGTGCGCACGGCAGGTGCAGAATGCGCCCCGGCACTGGCCCAGCCGTTCCAGCCTGTTTCGTCGCCAAACAGTGTGATACAGCGCTTATACCACACGACGAGAAGGAGTGCGTCGTACTAAAGTACAGTTTTGGATCAACGTCGCTCGGAGTGCTTCGTATGTTGTCTAGCACACGTGTGTGCGCGGTAACATGTGGTAACGGCGAACGCCGCTAGCACCCGTGCCGCCCGCCCGAACGACGAAAGCTTTCTCCCACCCTCACCACCCTAATGCTGCCTTTTTCGGCGGACGGCGAACGACAGAGGGCCGGGTGCAGAATGTGCCCCCGGCACCGGCTAGCCGTTCCAGCCTATTTCGTCGCCGAACGGCGTGATACAGCGCTTGTGCCACACGACGAAAAGGAGTGCGTCGTACAAAGGTACAGTTTTGGATCAATGTCCGTCGGAGTGCTGCATATGTTTTGCCGGATGCAGGGACCGTGTCATTAGCGAGTACGCTACCAACTTTGGCAAAGCAATTCCCTTGCAAGAGCGCGGTGTCATGGCGTCAGCATCCGGTCAGCACTGGGTTTTTTCTTGCAGCTTGACTTGCAGAAACGCGAGAATATCGCAGCAAGGACCTCACGTGGATCCCTGTACCGCCAGCAGATGGGGACCTTCTTATCTGGCATGATGAGTTTGACTACACAGGCAGGCCTGTTGGTCCGTGACTCTTCCTGTGTCCGCCCTACTGCAGTTTGTGCTTCAGGCCCTCCGGATCCATCCAAATGGTCGTTCGAGCTTGGAGACAGTGGCTGGGGGAATGGCGAACTTCAGTTTTACACTGACTCGCCAAAGAACGCCTATGTTTCGGATGGATGTCTTCGAATTAGAGCCTTGCTGCAGAAGTGCGGGTCGCGTGACTTTACATCCTCTCGTTTGACAACGCTTGGCAAGACCGACTGGCAACACGGCCGCTTTGAGGCACGTGTGCGGCTTCCATGTGGCCGTGGCACATGGGCAGGAATCTGGATGATGCCCACATCTGGCGAACCCTGGCCCACAGGTGGTGAGATTGACATCGTTGAACACGTAGGGCACGATGCGGGCCGAATTCATGGAACCGTGCACACTGCCCTTTGCAACCACCAGCAAGCCAGTCAGGTTGGGGGCATTCTGCCACTGTCAGTCGATCTTTGGCATACATACGGCATCGAATGGAATGCGGAGCGAATTGACTTTCACTGTGATGGCTTCCGGTACTTTAGAATTCGCAAGGACCCTTGACACAGCCAGTTCCAGAACTTGCACACTCATGTTGCATGTGTTGTCATGATTACGGGGTTCGGCCAGTATATAGCCCTTCAGGTGAAAGGTGCGGCCTTCCTCAAGGCCTCTAAGCATCCTTCACGTTATGCCAGTCCTTCCCACGGGTTCTTTCTTTTTTCTTGGTTTGCAGAGTTGACATTGGCTGTCCACATCTGCCGCTTTAGTAGAAAGCCGGCATCACAGGATTCCAGACTGCATGCTCCAGCTTCAAAGTTTCAAGTCCTCCAGTTCTTCGGAATGTTCGGATCAGAGCTTACTTTATCCGGCACCAGCCCGCAAAGGCTCGCTAGGATCCCTGTTGCTGTAGCGGCTGAGACGCCCATGCTGATCTCAGGCTGAAATTCTGCGGCAAGCTTGAGCCAGACTGGGCGAACCCAATCAAAACCTCGACCGGCCAAAACTTCATAACAGATCTGAAGTTTAAGAATCGCCTTGCAGGACAGTGGAGCCAGCAAGGAAGGGTGGCCATTTGACACTCCTTTTCACCTCATCATGCGGCTTGGTGCATGTTGGCATCAGCCTGTCATGCGAACCCGGTCTTGTAAGATTTTCTGCTTGCATCGCTATGGGATGGTTCTAGTCGGCAGGAACTTGGCCGTTGGTGGCAATTGGGGTGGCCAACAGGTGCGCGCAATGCTCTGATTGGCTCCATTCTCGATGTCTGCAGCAGAATTAAAAGGTTTGTGCTGTAGATGCGTATCTGAGCTACTCTGGCCAGGGCATCGATCGGACGGCTTTCGAAGGTGATGGGCAGGTTATGGAGATAGCCTGGATACGTGCCTACAGACTTCAGCACGACCCACCCGAAGAGATGTGATCCCGGACGGCTTTCCAGGCTCAGTGGACGAACGGCGATGGCCTGCATCCACAGCACCGTCAGCAGCAATGGAAACAGCAAGGAGGGATGCGAGCTTTGCCTGGCAGTGCCGGCATCAACGTCCTCATGACTTCCTCCAGTAATTCCAGCAAATGGGGACAGAGCAGAACATGGTCGCACAAGAGGCCCCCCCCCGCCATGGTCGCGACTTCTTTGCGACTTGTCCAAGACGAGTGCGGGCGAGAAAATGCAGTGCAGGTCGCATGCTCGTGGACAGAGGCTTTGGGTGTTGCTTCTGCTATGTTCGGTTCATCGTTGGAGCAGGCAAAGGGCCCACCTCTGCGTGAGCTTCCCCAGTTCAGGCGCAGTTGGAGTGACAGCATGTTGTTTTTCGATGGGTAGTGCCAAGACTTGTCTTTCGCATCAAAGTCTACAAGACTACCAGGCAGGAATATATTAAGTGGGCTTGATGACTCTACAGCCATGTGTTTGTCGGAGGGACCATCTCCGAAAGCTGAAGTGAATTTGGAGTGCTGTTGCGAGTCAACCCTGGCACTTCAAAGCCCCGAAGACAATGGAGCTGCAGTGAACCGAAGTAAACGGATCTTTAACAGTGAATGAACAGACACACGAACCCCTTGTTCTCATGGAAGCTATTTTGGAACACACAATTCCCATTGTGCTGGGATCTCGAGATTCCATGTGCAAAATGCCACCTTTAAAACTAGATTCGCTATTTGTTTTTCACTGAAGACACGGCAGAGCGGACATGTTCCAGGAGATGGGTGCTTGATTTGCATGATAGACTAGCAGGGGACGGCTGCAGATTCCAGCATGTTCTCCAGCATGTTCGACCATCTGTGCTGCCTTTTTTTCTATTGTCCCCAGCGATGGGGATATTTCTATGCTTAACATGAAGAAACCCGCGCTGGTCATGAAGGAGATGCCAGAGCTAGACACTTCCCTCCGGCTTTACCACTAGTAGGACACCTCCTAAATTATCTCATCTAATTACCAGGCTTCGTCGAAACCCAAGCCCAATGGCTCACGGACGTTGTCATGAATGCTTCGAATCAGCTTGAGCCCACACACACCCAGCTGTGTAAGAAAACGGTACCGTTGAGCCACCGGCAACTAATAGCACAAGAAGCCCCTCCCCTTTCCTGCCATCTCTGGCTGGAACATCGTCACCTGCCCACTTGCCTACGCTAGACCAGCAACTGCGCTACTCCGACGGCGTTTTCCGTCATTCCCCGTTCGGCGTGTGGAACTACTTGGCAGCTTGCACCAGGCCGTCCGATGCGCCAACAACCGAGAAGGAGAAGTTGCTGTTCAGGGCCAGGGAGGGAGCATGGACCTGTGGTTCCCTGCAGGAAGAGCGCCTGGAGCTGCACTTTTTCCACCTCTCCTTGGGCAAGGCAGGCGTTTTTGGGCACTGTCCAGGTTCTGGCGGCAGGCGAAGTCACTTCGCAGGTAGATCAAGAAGCTTTCAAGACGGAGTTGATGTTGGCGCTGCTTGGCATCGGATTTCCACAGGACGCATGCCGACAGCATGCAGGTTTGAAGTTCGCGTTTTCGCACGCCAAATAGCGTGTCCTGCAGGAATTGTTGGCCAGTCTTGCTGTTGGCTTGCGCGCAGGCTGAACGGGCATGCTCTGTTTTATGAGCGGGATTCAGTGCACGAAAGTTTGTCTCGTCCGTTTGCGATAGTTTACAGAGCCGCCCCTCGGGCATGCCTGTGTGCTTTGCAAGGCTCGGTGATAGCCGAAATCCGGGGCCCTGCGAGCAGCATGCGGCAATCATAGCTTTGAGGGAAGCTTGGGTCCTGTTTGTCGCGAGACGGCAAGGAAATGAAAATGCGGGCTGAGGCAGAAGTTGAAGTCGCTGCCTGTGTACAGCATCCATGTCATGGGCTGCCAGGAGGGAGCGACATGCAGCCAGAGCCAGCACACAAGCGAGTGCATCGCGGTTTGAAGGCACAGTCGGCAGCTAGTGCCGCGGCAATGGCAGCAAATGCCGGCGTCAGATGCCTCAGCTTTGACATGCTTTGACTGTTGAATCCAACTAAGCTTTGCAAAGTGTGAGTTCTGCTCGGTGCGTCAATGTCTTGGCAAGTCCAGGCTCAGGCCATCTCAGGCCTGCTCTTAAACGCCACCATCACTGCAAGAATCGACCGGCAACCTAGCACCAGCATTGTGCCCGGAACAACTGAAGCACTTTGTCCCGCCTCGTGCTCGCGGCAGCGCTGTGAATGCATAGGCTCGTTAGCGTAAGATCATAGAATGGGCATCCCTTCTCAATCACCCTCACCAAGAAGCTCTCGCTGCGAAGCTGCATGTAAACTCGAACAAGGTTTTGCCGCCAAGACTACCAGCTTCAAACGAATCCGACAAGGCGGGAGTATGCGTCGTTGACTGCCTTGCAGCATGCCGATGTCAGTGGATGTCAGTGGCGATCACTGTGTTAACCGTCGAAGGATATTCCTGGGGCTGATTGTATGGGAAAAGCAGAGTCCACAGCAGTGGGTTCAGATGACTCCTCAGAAACGTGTGGCGTGACGTGACAGCACTTTCATTAGTTTGCCGGCTTCATCCAGGCCGCACCAGTGTCGGAAACCCCCCTAACAGCAGTGACAAGTGCTGACCTCAGCCGTGCTTGGGCAGGCTACTGCATAGCGGTTTGCGCAGCTGTTGTTAGCTGAAGAGAGTGTTTCAAAGGCTGTTGCTCGCACTGTTGCACGACAGCTTCCAGAACCATGCAGCAACCCTGCCTAGATGTTCCCTACAAGCCTCTTGACACAAGGCTGCCTCGTACACGGCTTCTTACAACTCTTGCTGGGAAGTGTCGTTTGTGTTTCGGATGCGACAAGTCCTCAGCACACCTGTTTTGCCGACTAAGTGTCGGTCAGTCTGGTGTCAGCGAGGTCACCTAAAACGGTATCGTTTCACAACTGGTCTGTCAGCGACAAAGTGCAAGCGTTGCTAAAGTGGGAGGGATTTAGCAAGAACTCTTCAAGTAATTTCCGAAGCCTTTTGGGTACCACACTTGAAGTCAAGGCTCTCCTTGTGCTCAGCTGCCTGGAGCTCAGCATCCGTCTGGCCGTGAAGAGCAAGCCCAACTGTTGCGGAGGCCTCTTTTGGCTGAACATTCGCAGCGAGGCACTAGTGGCGGGACCCGGCATGTTCTGATCTGTGCTTAGGTGCTTCCGTAGAAGCACCTTGACCTTGAACTGTGCATCGGCGCAGCTTTCCGCGGCCCACCGAGGTGCAGAGAGTCGCACTCCCCTTCTTTCGGGAACGCCAAACCGAGATGCGATCTTCTCGCCCGATCGCAGAAGCAGGACGCGAAGCGATGTCCTTTTGAATCTCTGGACGGGACAGCATTTCTCTGCGGGCTTCTGTTCTGCTGCAGGCCAACCGGATTCCGTTCCCAGGCTGCTCTGCCAACGGAGCGGCGAAAGGTTCGCCATGCAGCCATCGCATTTTGCTGTCGGGAGTATATACTGGCGGCCAGTGCCGAACACCCTTGTGTTGGTTTTGTTTGTATAGCCGTATAGCCATATATGCTCAACTCAAGTGCAGCGTCTACCCAGCGGGGTGCATGCAATGCCAGCTGCCCCCCTTTCAAGCGAGGAGATACGCAGCAGATTTTCTTGCGTTTGCCGCAATTCACAACAACTTGCGGATTTTCTCGCCAGGAGCACCGAGCACTGGTTGGGCTTCCTGACCGTGGCAGACGTGTAGTAGGCCTTACGAAGGTGGGTGACAATCAGCGCTGTGAGGTTCTACGTTGTTTGATGTTTTGAAACCTCGTGGCTTCGCACGTCTTGTAGGTTTTTCTGCCCATCTTTGTTGCTATGCAACAGCCATGACAGACAGCAGTTTTGAGTGGCAGACCGACACTTAAATTCACTGCCCTGTCAGCACTCGACGGTTGCCGCCTAGCTGCATTGTGGCGCATTGGAGACAGATGAAAGGGGAGCGTGAGGAGAGGGGGAGACGGAGCGGGGAGAGTAGCTCCCTGTCTTCCTCTTCTCTCCCTCCCCCCTCCCTCTCCCTTCTCCTCCCTTCTCCTCCCTTCTCCTCCCTTCTCCTCCCTTCTCCTCTCTTCTCCCCCTTCTCCCTCCGTCTCCCTCCGTCTCACTCGTGCTCCCTCTCCCTCTCGAAGTGGAGGTCCTACCAGGAAATTCTTGTAAAACTGAGCGGGAATCGTCCGCCCAGGATGAAATCATCTACGGCTTAGACTTTGACAGGTCCGGCTCCGACCCTCATCGGGACCTGAAGCATATCTTTGGTGAACGTATTCACGGTCTTCTTTGTATGCCAATTCTCGAGAGGAGTACATGAAGCAGTTTGCTGATTTCGCTGGTGTTCCTTCAGGCCACAAGCAAGGTGGCTGTTTTGTTGCTCGCCCTTTCACCCATGGACTTTTGGTAGCTGAGGGACCGCCACAAGTTATGCAAGTACCTGGCGCAGGTCCCGACAACAAGAAAAAGCGCAGAGCTGTTCTAAATTACTGTGTCTTGCAGGCATTTAGACCTGCTTGTTGGCTGGCCTGCCTCCTCCAATTGCCGAGGCTCACAGCTTACACACCATGTGGACGAGAAAAGCCCGCATGAAGAGTTCATGCAGCGATTTAGCTGCTTGGCTGCCGTGATCGCAGCCTTCCAAGACATTCTTCAGAGCTTGATACGTCTTACACGATGTCGGTCATTCATATTTCTTCTAAGTTGGCCGCGCTTATCTGACTCTCCGTCTACTGCAGTTCTAGCAAGCTCTCGGACGTTCTTTTCCGCTCTTTCGGAATGTTTAGGTTCGAGCTCATCGGGCGATCGCTTCTTCTGCTGTTTTGTGGCAACTCTGCACTCTCACTTTCGAGCACAAGCATTGTATGCATATGTATGTCTATATATGTATATGTACATATATATAGACATGTGTGTATAAATAAATACACAGATACATACACATACATACACATACATACACATACATAAACACACATGCACGCAGGCATGCACGCACGCGAGCCCGCGCACGCACGCACGCAGGCACGCACGCAGGCATGCACGCACGCACGCAGGCAGGCAGGCAGGCAGGCACGCACGCACGCACACATGCTTTCCGTTTCACATCCCTCTCAAAAGCCTGAAACGGGCGGGCCCCCTCCGGCGGCAGGCAACAATCAGCACGATGCACTGGACGGAATCAGCTCGGGTACAACTATGTACGACTGTATTGAAACTTAATGATGACATTCTCTGATGCCCCCGCCAAGTGGCGTGCTTGTGTGCGCACACTCGTTTTGTTCAGCAGGAGCTGCGTTATTTGCTCGCACTCTGCGGCTCTACGTGCTGTGCTGACAGAAAGCTGAGCAAGCTCCGAAGGCAGTAGATATGTTGCTGATATGTTCATAGACACCTTCACCCGGAACATGGACAAATCTCCAAGGCGACCGGGCTGGAGCCAGGAATGTGGAGAACCGCTCCAGGCCTTTTCGAGCTCCAGGCCGCTGTTTTCCTGGCCTTCAGTGTAGCAAGCTTTTGACAGGGCATCTGATATCTGAGGCCTAGCACATGTCTCAACGATGGGGGAAGTTATCCATGGGAGAAGTCCAGCAGGCCGCTGAGGGATGATGGGAGCAAGCTGACAGTCATCAGTGGGATGCAAGAAGCGGCACAATCCGAGCTTTGTGCCGGCCCTGCAGAATCGCCACGGGGCCAACGGATCAAGAGCTTCAGTCTCTTTGCTGCAAGCCAGGTTTTGGCAGACCTTTGGTGAATGCTAAGCTCCGTAAATTAAGAGCACGCTGCGGCAAGGCGCGGCTGGATGCAAGAGCGTTCCCGAGTTGGCTCACCCCGAAGGAAAATCCATGGTATCAGCTCGCTTCTCAGCCAACGCGCTGTGTTCTCTGCGCGCGCATTTTTGCTCAGTGTCTGTCCGTGACTTGTTTCTGAAGGCAACGTGGACAACAGGTACAATGTCAGGCGGCACGTACAAAGATGCCAGTCCGTTTGTGAAGGAGTCCGATCAGCGTGCCTAAGCAAAAGCTAGCAAGAGTACTGAATCCAGTGCTGCTTTCTCATTGCTTGTTTGGCAGCATACAATGTAGAGGATTGCTATCTTGCGCTCTCACCAAGGATTTGCCGACTATGCTGGGAAGACTCTTCTCTTCCATGGGTGCACTTGTAGGGTACTCTCTATGAGCCTAGTAGATTCACAAGCATGACGAGTGGGGGGTGGCTAGCTGCTATAACCTCATCAAGCAAGTGTGCAAACTCCGCCGTTGCAAATCGTTGCAAGGAAGGTCAACCTTGACGAGAAACCTGCCAAGAAGTGTAGCATACGCGGGATTTCGGCAGGGCCCCCATGCTCCTCATGTAACGGTGCGGAACAATCAGCGCATTCATCATGTCATCAACGTCTCCCAGGTTGTGGACAAGCTTGTTTATGGTCGTGATATATCACAGCTCGCGGAAGATCCAGTTGTTGCTCAGCTGCCGGTAGTTACGGACAAGGGCATTATAGTGACTTAGAGAAGCGATGCCCTTAAGGTAGAGTATGCCAAGAAACACGTCCGGATCCCGGCTCCACGCCGTCCCAAACCCATCTCAAGCCGCACCGAAGAAGCGTTTTCAGGCTGGCTACGCCGGCTTCATGCTCGGGACTCTGACTCTATGACTGTCTCAGAGCCCGCACTCTGTGCGACTGTGAGGTGGAAGACGCCAGGGCCAAGCCCAGAGAAAGAAGAGTCAGAGGCCCGGCGGCCCGACTTTCTCGTTGATCGTGGGTCCGGATGCGCAAACCTTACAGTCTGAGGGACGGCGCATGCTGGGTGAACAGGCCTCGGAGAATTTCACGACGCCCACGAATGCCCAGGTTGTGGAGGCCGACGACACCCGAAGTCGCTTGAATCTGTAGTGTATAGAAAAGAAAAGGTTGGCGTGGTGTGCGACTTCGATGGGTCTTTTTGGTTTGCATGGTTTTTGTTGTTTCGAAGCTGGAGCTCTCCAGATTCTAGGTCCTGGGTATGATTGCATGCCTGAGCAGAAGGCAGAGCGGTAGGGACTTGAGGATCTTGACCTCGGCAGCTCAGCTGAGCTTCGCATAGCTTTCGGCTAGAGCTTTGAGAAGACATCAACGAAAAGGCTAATGAGGCCAGGAGACGAAAGCAAGAAGCTAGGTATCAAGACCTTCCAAAGAGAAAGAACTTGAGCATCCCGCCAGGTCAGCTTGTCTGCTTCAAGTGTATGCAGCTTGTGAGACTACCCGGTAAGTGCTTGACATGCAGCTTTCTGCATTGAATGCTGCTTCAAACTTGACATGTGTGGCCGTTGCTGGGAGAGTGCTTGTCGTGGCAGGAGCATCAAGAAGCTCGGGAAGGGCAAGAGCCCATGGAGACATTCAAGGTGGACACAGGAACACAAGAGTAGCCTGGAATGCGTTCGCTTTGTCCGCCGCAGTTCGAGCCAGCAGCGAGGGAGTCTGCCGAGAACCCCCCGTGAGAGACTGAGTCCGAAACGACTTGAGTCAGAGACAGTGCAGCATCCGCGGCAGAGAGGTAGTGACGCCAAGACTGGCCGAGGTTCGAGCCTGCGACGCTTCGACCTGAGGAGTTGGACGCAGCGGGAGTCGAGGACCCAGATGTGGTTTTCCATGAAAGGAGAGCGTCGAAGATGTGTTGCCAAAGGCCAGCCCGTCGCCTTCCCCGAGCGTGAAAAAGCGCGTCAACCCTTTCAGGGAGTCGTCCACCCAGGTTAAAGATTCAACATGATTCAATCGTCCCAGAGCAATAGACATCTGCAGTGCTTTAGGAAGGGCTCTCCAGTTGCCAGCCGCGGCACCTCGAGAACCCCCTCAGAAGCTTGGATGTGTGAGGTCCCTGTGAAGCTGAATGTTCAATACCTTTGCCTAAGGTTTGCTCCTCAAGTGGTGATCCGAAGCCACGGTGGCGTTGAATGTCGGGAAGATGTTAGTGTCACGATGTCTGCCGCCGTAGAGCCTGCGACAGCCTTCTAATGTGTCTGGGGAGCTGAAACCTTGGGTGCAGGGATGCTGCTAGCTGCTTGCCCGCTTCACATCCGAAGGCTTGCGCAGGCCAGGAGGCAGACGTGCTCTCTCTGTGCTCTTGAACCAAACAGGTAGTGGTAACTTACGAAGGCGAAGCTGCCAAAGGCAGCTACAGTGCCACGGCTTCGTGTGCGGGTTGCACACAATGAGCAAGAGCGAAAAGAGCAGGTAGGTGTTGCTTTCAATCGGCATTGCCAGAGCCGTTTTTGCTAGTGTATGCTTTAGATAGGTAGTTGGGGGGTGGGACGTATAGGCTGGACCCCAACGACTGCGAGCACGAGACCGGTGGAACGTAGAGGTGAGGATGCTGTTGTTTTCTGGTGCAGTGCACCAGTGCCGGTGCCGTCAGCACCTGTGGAGGAGCTTCGGATTTGTGACATCATGTCACGGTCACTCGGGTGGACAGGCACGGGAGGGTCGTGTTCATGAGGCACCTCGTGTTCTTGCTTGTGGCCGGAAGGTTCGCAGCTTGACTTGGATGAGAACGATGTGGCAGAAGTGTTAACAGAGCTGTATGGCGAGGAACCTGTGCATCCTGTGCGCACACAGACTTAGCAACACTACAAGATTGGACTCCGCATGCTTGTGCTGTCAAGATACACGAATTTGCGCACAGATGCTTGGGAGGAGCTCGAGCTTGATGCTGTTCCTTGGACATTTCAACTCGCAAGCCGCGGGGAGACAAGGCAAGCTCCCACCCAATCAGCAATCCAATGACGTCTGGTTCTGTCGTTGCTCGTAGACCATCGTAGACGTACTGCGTCTTTTCTTCGTGATGCTTTTGCGCTTGAATTTCTATCTCTAAACCTGGAGCAGAACCAGCAGCATGACTTCGCATTGCATATTTGCAAGAGCCCGTAATCAAGGATTCGAAGGAGTTGCCATCAAGGGATTGTTATAGGCAAAGCGGGGACATAGTAAGGAAGTTGAAACTGGCAAAACTCGACAGAGTAACATTGGCTAGGTAGCGAGATTCGCTTAACCGCTTCAGGTGCACCAGCACAAGAGCCTTACTCAGCGCGTGCAGACGTGGCCTTGATAGGTTGTATCTATTTTTGTGGTTGCGCATCGGCCGAAGAGGTGTATGTGCGCCCAGGTGACTTGCACTATGCGCTGCGTGCACATCACATGTGTCACTTCTTGCCGCAGGCCTGCCTGTGGCACAAAATTGACAGGTTGCTAGTGTGGGAATGTTGACAGGCCACCATGCGGACGCTGGCTACCACAAATGCTCGGACCTGTTGCACCCATGAAGCTTGGACTTGCAAGTGCATCTGCGAGGTTAGCTCCAGAGGCTGTGTGGATCGGGAGCTGTTGCGGGACTTGATGGAAGAGCTCAACGGAGGCCAGCGATGCAAAATGGTGGTTGATGCGGCTGCCTTTTCCTCCCACGTTCCTATTCTCCCATTGTCTGTGCCAGTGTTGAGGATACACGGTGCTTGCGGCTCAGGCATGGGTGCGGTGCCAGGTTGTAGCGAGCATGCCTTTGGCACAGTGATGCACGTGTGGGGAACGGAAGCCAGCCACTCCGAGAGCCACCGCGATAGCCTGGACGGCCTGGAGGATCCGAATTTTCTGTCGCCCTCAGCAGGTCAATGCCGTCCTCGACGAAGCTGAAGCTTTGGCAGCCTGTGGGTCTGGAAGTGGCCGTGCATCGCTGGTTCGGGCGATTTCAGCGTGGTGCGCCGGCAATGCTGGCTTTTCGATTTTGGTTGTCGTACTCCCGGCTACAGCTAAACCAAACCTGTGATTGTGCCAGGTACTTGAATGTTTTGCGAACTGAATCGTGGCGTCCTTATGGGACTCTTCCCATGACTGGCAAAAATGGCTATGCCTTTCGGTACGAGGGGCAGTTGCGACCGTGACGGAATTCAGGCCTTGGGCAACTACCTTTCGAGCTTGCTATGGCTGCCAGCCCAGCTGCAAATCCATGTCAAGTAAGGGTCGGGAGCATTTGGCGGCATAAAGCAACCAAGCGTGAGTCAGTCGTGTGCTTCAAAACGAGTGTGCGAATTAGCCAGGACGCTGGGTACCAGAGAAAGGCTACCATTGGGAGGCTCTGCCGCGGTAGGTTTTGCAGCTGCGAGGTAAAGGAAACACCGGGAGCTGGCATGGCCAAGCATGATGCAGCTTCCAAGAATTTTCGTGAAGCTTGTAGCTGGTACAGAAAGCCGCAGTGGCGCTTTGCTATGTATATGTATCTGCATATACATATATATATATACACACACACATACATGTGTGTGTGTGCGAATAGAAGTACGTACATACATATGTACGTACGTACGTACATACATACATACATACATACATATGTGCCCTGCTCGTGGAGGTCTTTGCGCGCTTTCGAGTCTCTTTGACGGAGGCTGAAGAGGCCCCGTGTCGCAGACGGGCGTTTGTCACGAGAGATGCTGCTGCAGAGCGTTCTGGGATGGAACGCAACCGATCACAGGAAATGCTGTGACGGTGGTGCCTGCAGCTGTGCATGCCCCGAACACTTGCACGCACTGCAGCTCCACATTCGGTTCTGGTGTGTGAATGTGCTCGTGGCAGTGTGCCACTTAGCTTGGGCCAAGCTTCGTGCCTTCATCTTGGCCCGTCGGCATGTTTCATGCTGCCATGTGGAGTCGCTGAGCGCCGTCGGGGTCTTACAAAACGCTTGCACTTGGACACTCCGTCGTCGGATGGCGAGAAGGCTGTTTCGTTAACGGAGATGGAAAGTGAAGATCGCGTGCGTGAAGCCAGCCGCTGGCTGGCTTGCATCGAATGTGTCTGGGATATCGTTGGTGAGCTAGCTCGACTTTGTGGTCAAAGTGTTGATTTGGTCTTGCCTTTGTTCCTGGATCGGGCGGCCAGTACTTTGCGTCGGCATTTTTATTTGGATGGAAGTCTTGGGTGTATTTCTGTACGAGTTTATCATATTTCTTGGGGGACCTTCTTTTGTCCAGCTTGTGGATTTTCTTCAAAGCTTATCCGGGGGCATAAAGAGTGATCGTGGTTCTGGTCGGGCACGCTCAGCTCAGTCTGCCCCCAGTGGAATTTCCTTTGGCGCCTTCAAACTGGATCTTGCGTCTCTGAAGAAATTGCTCGGCAACCAGCTGATTAAGGCGTGGCAGGACAAGGGTTGGTGGGATGCACCAGTTGTCCGCGAGGCTCTGCCACTCCCTTTGGAGGTGGTGCGCAGATTGGAACGGGCGTGTGCGGATACATCTTGTGATGTGAGTGGTCGTTGGCTTCTTGCGTATATTTTGTTTATGGTTTGGTGCAGCCTGCGATGGTCTGACGCGCAGAGGTTGCGGCTGGAATCTGTGGCAATCAGAGGATGGTCTTGGAGAACCAAGTTCTCCGTTCGTGGCATGGCTTGGGTCGGGTCTATTCGACGCTGCTTGGGACGAGTTCTTTTTGGGTGCCATTGACTGTCTTCGGGAGAAGTTACCGAAGCGTGACTTCCTTTTTCGCGTTTCAAGGTCTCGGCCTCTGGGCTACACCAAGATGTTGGCGCAGAATCGTAGATGCTTGGTGGTTCATGCTGGCTTATCTCCCGAGGAAGCTTCTTGGTTTACATTGCACAGCTTGAAGACTACACTCTTGGCGTGGTCAAACCAACTAAATGTGGCTGATTCTTTTAAATCGGCTCAGGGACATCATCGTGTTGCTTTTGTTTCCAGATGCATGCCTCAATACGGCCGCGATGACATTATCAATCAACTTCGCTGCCAGAAACAGGTTCTGCAAACGATTTCTGCTGGCTGGGCGCCATATGTTCTTATTGATCGTGGCACTGGTCATCTTGTGCTGCCTTCTTCAGGTTCTTCTCCTGCTACGGCTGAGGCCTCTGCCTTTGTCCTTGACGAGGAGTCGGACTGTGAGTCTGTGTCTTCCGCTTGCCCGAGTGATGAGTCTGTCATACCGTCTGCCTCTGATGATGAAGCCGTGCCGAAACAAGATTTGGGACCATGGATACTCAATTGTGTGACGGGCTTTGTGCACAAGGCCGTGTCCACGGACGATGGGGCTTCGTGGGTCTTGGCATGCCGCCCCCATGCAGTACTTCACGATGGCCACGAGATCCAGCGGCCGAGCCTGTGCGCGCTGGACGCACAAAGGCTGCATATAGATTGCAGAGCTTATTTCGTGTGGTGGCAGCGTACCCACGCCGTTTGTTCAGCTCAGGGTCGAGCTTCGTGTTGAATGTTGGTGTGTGGGACTTCTGGATGGCCGTGTGCCTTTGTGGTTTGTCTCTCTGCAGGGAGTCGTGTTCCTGTTAGTCTTGGGGACTTCAGGATGGCCTTGTGCCTGTGCGTCTTGTCTCACTGGGTGGCAGCGTGTCACATGTGGGATAACTCCTCTTGTTCAGTTGCTTTGCTCTCGGTATTGTGCCTGACGGCATGTCTGGGGATCTCTGGACTTCCCTACAGGATGCTTCGGTGCTTGAGAATGTCATCAAGAAGCTCTGTGAGATGCACACTCTACACGACAGCAGACAACTTCCGATGTTCCTTCCTCGGGAGGGAGGAGGACTTGGACTCTTTCTCCAAGCAGTTTTTGATTGACTTGGGTACGGTCACACAAGAGAATTGGAATTCGTATCCTTCCATTGGAGCTGTGAGGCTTGCGTGGGAGAGATTGTGCGCGAAGCAGTTACAGGAGACGCCGTCATCGTCGCCAGGCACTTCTGCCTTGTACTCAGGCTTTGGGATTAGACCTGGGCAGTTCCCGTGTGTGTGTGTGCTGCTGACCGCGAACGGTTGGTGAAAATGTTTAACAAGAACTACTCTTGCTGTCGTCCAGGAGTACTTCCGGCTGTCAGTTATTTGAGTAGTATTAGTATTCATTCGCAGTGATTCTCTAAGTCGTGGGCTTGGTCACTTTGGCGAAAGATCTTGTCTGAAGAAGCGGCCATGGAAGCACAGTTTCGCAAGGCTTCTCTTCAGAAACGTGATATGGCAACGATCGTCGCAGGGGCGGCTGGGTTGTGTGAGGAAGAGTGTGATTTGGATCTTCTTAATGCTCTGCACAACGTTTGTCAGCTCCTCACATGTCGGGCCCATGCTTATTCCATGTGCACCGGCGGCGGTCATTTGTACAACTGGATGGAGTATGTGAGTAAGCTTGTCCCCTACTACTCTCGTCGCCCTGCTCAAGGATTTCGACTGCTGACTTCTTCTGAAGCTGAAGAAGTTGACAGAGAGGTCATCGGCGAGGTTTTTCGCATGGTCTACCACGACGATGCAAGCGTTGACACGGCGCTGGAGACAGTTGTTCTTGATGACTTTTTTCCGACAAACTGGCAGCGGTACCAAAGCTGACCAAGCCGCCTGCCAAGCTCACTGGGAATGGTGACCATGGTGATCGTTCTGAGCGTCTTGCTTTAAAGCGTCGCGGTTTGGACGAAGGCAGTGATGGCAAAGAGCGCAAGAAGTAGAAGCTTGGCATGTGTTTCTTTTTCCAAGAAGGGAAATATACGCGCAAACGTTGCCGCGGTACGCATCGCTGTGCGCATCGCTGTGACAAGTGCAACTCTCCTGACAATGGGGCAGCGGATTGCAAACATCATTGACTTCCTGTAGCTGGTGCTCTATCGGTGTGCGATAGGATGGTTTTGAGTGCTGGCAGCCGTATTCTGCCTTCGGCTGATGAGCCATGTGATGCTTCGTCATCCGTGTCAAGTGCGGTGAGTGTTGGGCCGGCGGGTCAATGCCAGGTGACGGCAAACTCTGTGAGTTTGCGTGAGAGCGCACTTGTGCCTGCTGCTCCATCGCATTCAGTTTCGTCGGGGCCCACGTCAAATTCTCAACTCTGATCTTGGATGGTGGAGGTTTGGCTTCAGATGCTGATTGGCTTTCTCCACGTGCTGGTGTTGATTTCTTCGCTGGCTTGCGACGTCGCTTTATTAATTTGGCTGCTGAATTGGGTTTGGTCGGCAGGCTGTTGTCTCATGCACGTCGTGGCTCGGAGGATTCTCTTTTCACCGCTGCTGAAGCATCTCAGATTCGTTCTGAGCTTGTCGACTTTGTGAATTCGCAAATTTTCCAACGCTCTGGTCATGTGGTTGAGCATCAGCCTTTTTCTTTTTGATGTATGGAGAGCATTGAGCCTGGCCACTTGTAATGTGGACTGCGCTTTACCTGGCATCCTTACGCATGGGGTACGCGCGGGCATACTGCATCCTATTGAGCCTTCTGGAGTATGGGAAGAATCTTCCGAGTCTACGGCCGATGATCATCTGGAGCTGCTTGTGCATTATTATTAGCCGTGGAAAAGTGCCAAAGTGGATGAGTCCTTAACGCTGTCTTCGCTTATGAAAGATGTGGAAGCTGGTCACGCGTTCGTCTTAGAGGGCGGTGAGGAGGAGGCCAAGCGCCGCTGGGGCAAGCATGTTGCGGCTGGGAATTGGGCGTCGTTCATGCGAAGGGCAAGAAAAAGCTTCGCATTATCGGGGATGGCTCTGATTGTGGAGCTAACCCGTCTTGTCGCATCAGAGAGAGCGTGTTCGACTTCCTGGTCCTAACTGTGTGCAGCGTTTTTTCTCGACAAGAGCAAGTGAGTGGTTCTGTCTTTCGATGTCAAGGGTGGTCACAAGCTGGTGCTTGTACGTGCGCAAGAGCGCAGTGGTTTGTGTACCGCAGCTGTTACTTTGGATGCAATTGGGCCGCCTATTGGTTTTCCGGCGTCGGAGCGTGGCTGGTGCGTTTCTTCACAGATTCGTGTGGATTCCGCGCACGCTGATGCCTTACGTAGACGACGCTTTCATGTTGCTTCCGAAATCGGTGGGCTCACTGGTTGCTTCTGCTGCCATCATGCTTGTGTCGGCGCTAGGTCCGTGTGTCCTTGAGCTGGGCCAAGTTGGGCACTGGCAGCGATTTGACTTGGATTGGTTGGCGCTTCGATTGATTTTGAAGCAGGTGTTGTTCTGCCGAGTCTTTGCTGGAGGCCTTAAGTGACATGCGCCGGAAAGGCCAGCGGCTGCCTCGCAAGCGCGTTGTTATGGCTTCGCCCCTGGCTGAGTGAGTTCTACTGCTTGCTTCACAAGCCTCGCGCAGTCACTGTGCAAGTGCTGGTGGTGCCTGCACCTGTGCATGCCCCGAACACTTGCAGGCACTGTAGCTCCACGTTTGGTTCTGGTCTGTGAATGTGCTCGTGGCAGTGTGCCACCGAGCTTAAACCCCCACCCACCCGCCCTGTACAAAGGGTGTGGTCAGTCTGCCTGTCCAACGACAGGGCGATGTGAGGTTGCTTGCTGCCGCGGCAGTTGCAGTTGTGCAGAAGAAGTGCCAAAAAAGACGAGCGACATGGTATATGCAAGTGTTCGCATATGTTATTGGCCATGAAGATGTGACTTGCAGGCCTTTCATGAGGACGTATGGCAGGCGGGTTGCAAATAAGTTGCCGCGAGAGTGCCCAGCAGCCCATTCCAACAGGCAGTTTGGGGTCTCATACAGTCTGCCATTCTCCTGCTGGCGCGGGGTGCTCGGGAATAGTTTCGCATGTGATTTAGCAGAGGCAGTCCCTGTCGGTCCAGGCTGGTGTTCCCAATCATGTTCTTTGCTTGGTTGGTGGTTCTGGGCGCGAAGCCAAGCGACGCAGAGGCCTCGGTGAGCTTAAGTCTTGCTTGAGTGATGCAGGAGCGGAACATGGAGACGACCGCTGCCCGAAGGCCCACTGTGCCCGCTGGACCGAATGTTCGAGTGGCCCTCCTTCTGCAGGACCTGGACGGGCTGATGACTTGGTTCGGGATGCTGGGCAGATACCTTGGACATTGCTGTGCATGTGTGGTGTATGAGTGTTTGGCAATGCCATCTCTCATGAGAGGTCTTGCGCTGATTGTGGTTGGCTTTGTTGATGGCCGCCTGGCGCAAGAAGATGTCGTCAAAGCGCGCCGCCCAGAGTCTGCAGCTAGAAACGGGTATCGCTGGAGAGTGCGAAGTCGAAGACGGCAAGTTCGACCCCAGCTGCATTTACAATCGCCGTCCGAGACGTCTTACATCGGGCTGGCATTGTCGCTGGTCGCGCTCTCAGATATGTGATATCGCCTGGTATCCAAGCATCATTGATTTGCTGCGACTGTGCAAGCACGGGAATCAGGTCTTGCTTGTTCTGCCCTGGATTGGAGCATTCTGGACTTTCCACTTGGATAGCACTGTTCCGCACCCAGTCTGCTTCCAAGCCAAATGCCGGGAAAGGGTTCGACATGCGTGGGCTATAGGACCAGCAGACCTGCGGATTGTTCTTGACCGGTGCAAGTTCATTGCTTTGGACCTGATCTTAGCGGGTTTCACTGGTGCAGCCACATATGTGAGAATGGCGAGTTTGAATCTTGCTCCTCTTCAGGACTGTATGTCTCGTCTCAGAGTTGATACTCGGCTTGTTGCCAAGATGCTCTCGTCTCGTGACCTTCGCATAGCATCCTTTCGCTCGTCGGTTTGCACGAAGGCTTCGCATTTCTGTGGCATCTGGCGGTTTACCAGGAATATGAACTGCCTGCAGCTTACTGGGCTGATTGTGAGCCTGCCTCGAATGCTTTGGAATGGCAGCTCGACAACACTCCGAACTCAAGGACTCTGCAGCAGGGCCACGGTCTTGCGGCATGCTTACAAGATGTGCACAAGAAGATTGGTTTACGACAAGCTCTGCATGGGCTAGAACTCTTTGCGCTTCCGGCCCCAGATGTTTCCAAGGAGCAGCGCCCTTCGACCTTCGGCAATCGTTGCTGCACTCAGCATGTCAGAATTTATGTCGTTGCTCGCCACGATCAATTTGTACCTCGCAGGCCAAGATACCGCGTATGCCAGAACCTCAGCCAAGAAACGCATCATCAACAACTCTGCCCCTCAGCCACAAACGCGCCCTGTACTTCAGGCCAGCCGTTCGTCAGAGCCGTGACAGCCATGAATCGTAGCATTGTGACAGCTTGACAGTGACTTCCAGAGAAGCGTCGCTAATTCGAGTGTTGACATTGCCGTTTGCATTCAATGCTGGTGCAGACGGCTCTTGATGAATGGTTGAGGTAAGCAGACCGACACGGCATATGTAGGATAAATTTGAATTAAGGGCGTTCACAATTGTTGCAACTAGAAGCTGGTGCGGGGTTGCTAGCTCTCGCAATGCGAGCTTGCTATGCTGCACATCCACCGGTCATTGAAAGGCGTGTTTCCTCGAAGATTGGACGGGCTACATAGATTCGTTCTGTTCTGTCGCACTTGCTGTCTCAGCCGCCGCTGTTGCACTCAAGCTGTGTTTCCGTGCCGACTATTCAGCCATAGGGATGAGACATGTGAAGTTGGACGATGTCAGTAAGGATTCAAGCACATGGCACTCCTTGCCTCATAGGTTGCAGTGGTAAGGTCCAAGGTTGACCTCCCATCGACTGATAGCAGCTGTATTTTTTACCAGGGTCCCTGAAGCCAGGTGTGGTTCCGTTGTTGCGCTTAGCTGCTGTCAGAGCTCGTGATATCCGACAGGAAAATGATGCCAAGATCTGGTGCGAAGTGGCTGTTCGCCGTGATATTTCTGCACCCAAGGCAAGCATGAAGATTTCTGATGTGGCCGGTAGTCAGTCAAGTGTACGTGTAGCCATGTCTGGCCCTCTAGCTGGGAAGTGATCAGGAGACTAGGCCTTTTCTGTGACGGCTTCACCTGTTGGCAGCTGAGCCTTCACCCGTGTTTGCCAGCGGAGCAGGTGACACGATCCCGAATCCAAGGTCAGCATTGCCAGGTGAACGAAGGTTTTGGCGAGCTGTTAAAGCCGCAGGCCACTGCGTGGGACCGTGATTGGATGGGGAAAGTTTTCGTTCCTGGAGAGGAAGACATTGAACCCGGGCAAGCAGCGAGCAATGCGCCGATCTTGAAGCTTCTCTTGCGTCTCCAACGTGCCAACAATCTGCTGGGTTCAGGTCCACATATTGTGGCCGACGCATGTCGAGGCATCCTGGATTCTACGCAAGCAATCCAGCACGCAGTGGAAACAACGGTCTTTCAGTCATCTGCCCACGCAGGTGGTCCCGCTGACAGAAGACATAGGTTTCCGGCCGATTTCGGTCGCGTTTGAATTGTCCCTGTGTGACTGCATGGCCGGGCAGGTGGTTGGCTACCCGCTTCATTTCATCAGAAGCTCGCCTCCGAAGCTGTCCGCGGATGGTGCTGGCACTCAGTGTCGACCAGCACAGAGGTGAAAATGCCGCCCACGAGCATGTACCCTCGCGGTTCCTCAGAACTGAACGAGCAATACGGGCCAAGTGATTTTGCTGATCAGCACGCGCACACGAACCAAGCAAGCATCACTGCCAACAGCCATTGTGACATCTCCAAAGTCTTGAGGTTTCTGCAGCTTCCTGATATAAAACAAGTGCATGTGACCCTCGACATCATGTTTTCAGCAGAGTTGGGCCATGAATTCAACGGCGAACTGTCTGTGGTTGCAACCAGGCCATGGCAGGTACATATGCTGCATGCTTGCTTGAGCTGCGCTGCTTTGTTGCGCGATTCTTTTTCAGAGGCGACTGCTACGCGAGCAAGCTGATCTCAACAGGGATGGGTTGGAAACGCAGGTGACCGTCAGAGATGCGCCGTGTCACCATGCAAGAGAAAAAACAGCTCGAAGATGTTCGAAGTTGCGCAGGGGATTTTCCACCATTTCGACGATGTGCATCCGCACAAGGCGTTCCGTGTTCCGGTTTCTGGTGCTTTGGCGTATTGGCATTTCGTCTCACTCAGAAGACTGAGGCTGTGGCGATTATCATCGGCCCAGACGGATCGCCCTATGCGCGTGCACCGTACCTGTTTCGATTTGTGTTCCCGTGGCTCGGCGAAGAGCCAGTGTCCCACCTGCAGGTCGGTTGTAGGTCAAGCAGCCTGCGCCGAGGAACACGTATCCATTAAAGCCTCCGTCTGCCACATTCTGCACAGGAGTATTGCACTGAGCTGTGGGATGGTGTGTAATGCTGCTTTCCAAAATGGGCCGGCTGCCGAGGACGGGCGCGTCCGCTTCAATCCGAACTTGTACACAAATGGCAAGGCTAGGCTGGTTTATGGACTTAGCAGCGCGGCACTGTTTGCAGAGCTTGCAAACATGGCGGGTTCGTTCCACAGGTTTGTCTTTCCATTCTGGGCACCTGGGCGGGCCCGTCCTGGACCTCTCTGAGCACGTTTCGTTCTGTCTTGTTCTTCACCCGAGATTAGTGCGGAATGTTTTGTTGATGTCTTCGAAGCTATGCTGATGACGTGCGTGAACCTAAGGCTATCAATACAAAGTCTTTTATCTCTCAATCCTCTTCAGAATGAGCCGGGGCATGAGCACGAAACAGGGCGTGATTGCGACCTTTATTCAGCATCTCTGCTTTGGCATTGGTGCATAGCTTTTTTTGGCAATGTTTTGTTACGCATTTAGACGTCATGCGTTTTGGACCATTTGTGTAGAAGCCGTTTTGTTGGTATCAATCCTGAGACCCAGAGTGGTCCAATGAGCAATGAGCGCAAGACATCCAGTTTGCGCTGTGGGTAGTGGCGTTCATCTAGGATGTGTGATATCTTGTGCAAGAAGCGATGGCTCCACATTGCTGGCCTGTCTCAGGCAATGCTCCGCTATGAAAGTTTGGCCGTTGCAGCATTGCAGCTGACAAAGCCATTGGCCTCGTGTTTCGAGCCCATGCGAGTCAGCATCTCAGTAGACTTGGACTGGATACGGTCGCTGATAACCCAGTGCGTTCTAGGAGCTGCTTGGCGCGATCTTCCTTTGCAATTTTCATGCTACGAAGCTGCACCAAGTTCTGACTTGCCCAGTCCTTCCTCTTCCGACTGTGTTTCTCGTGCACTCGAAATCACCATGCTTCAATTACAAGTTGCAGTTCTCAAGCTGGTGCTGCACACGGCAAACGACTCGCGCCGCAGCTACGACAACTCCATATGACTACCACCAGAGATGCGAATGCTGCTATGGCTTTGGCTGAGCATGTGGCAAATGTGGTGAATTTGCATAGCCAGCGCAAGACGAGGGGAATGCTGCGAGACCATAAGCACAAGTTGTGAAATTGTTGTGGTAATTCGATAACCAGAAGCTCACGTGATAAGCTGGGGTAGTCTGCGGCGGGGTAGGATGGGATATGGCCGCCGCATGCGCGGAACCCTCACCCCCAACCTGCATGCACTTGTGCTTGTACATGTCAGGTCGCAGCAGCTCGTCGGTTCAGATTCTGCAAATTCTCGTAGCTTCATTTGCTGAAAAGTCCCTCCCGCTCTCCCCAGATGGGGTTGGTGACGGCGCATGGATGTCTGCATCATACTGTAATTGCGCATCGGTTACGGCCCAAAGGCCCGGGGTGTGGGCTCACCGCCAAGCTGCCTGTGCGCAAGCGCAACCCACTTACCATGCGCAATTGGCCTAAAGTAATAATAAGAATAAGTGGGCGTGTGTTCCCTTGCAGACGAGCTGATTTCCACGCGAATGCGCACACCGAGTTGTCGATGGGCGCGCTCCGAGATATGCGAAGCATGCACCACAGATATTGAATCAAGGCATACCAAGCAGTCCTATTCCGATTTGCCTTTCCAATTCCAAGGCCTATAAACACTCGTTGGGTGAATTTGCAGCCTGTGAAGGTTGCCTGGACAGGCACTCGAGCGATTGTTGAAAGTTGTGCGAAGAGCATTCGGATTGGTATCTGTGAGGTGCCCCGTGTACGGCTTCATTTCAAAATACAATCCAAGTTGGGTTCGCCAGCAGCTTGAAGAACTGCAGGCCATTCGGATCTGGAGTCGCAGTTCTGGAATCTTGCACATGCGCAGAGAGGCGGAGTTGCTGCTACGGCCAGAAGCCGTGGCTGTGGCTGAGGAGCTGCGCAAGCAGGTTCGCATTTCCCTGGAATTGGAAGCGGTAATTAGGCGCCACCTTGAGTAGCATGCCATCGTTCCAGGCACTACCATCGTGCTCAGAAGAAGTGGCCTGTGCCAGAAGCTCTGACGAAACCGGACAAAGTGCCGGAAGCGATGAAGGAGTCCCCGAAGGAGCACGCACTCATGTAGCTCGAGGCGCTGCCAAGTAGCAGTTGTTTGTGTTTAACGACTTGCGTAGGACATCCATTTGCACATTCTGCAAAAATGCTGTGCGTTTCTTAAGGTTTGCAGTAGTGCCCAGCTTTCAGTAGGAGAGGAGAAGGCGTAGACGCCTCAAAGGCCACGTGTCGCTCGAGGTGTGTGGCGGATGGCCGGGCCAAGTGTCTATCAGTTCTTGCGACGGCTATGCTTGGTCATGGTGTTGATACTGGCAGCACTTGGCTTCGGGATTGCAGTCGCCTTCTTGCTTGGTGCAGCGTTTTGGTTGCATAAAAACATCACATGAAGCCCCATTTCTTGATGTCGGCTCGCGACGGCTCAGGTCGCATCCCGTGCGCATGGACAGGCAGCTTCCCAGTTCAAATCTCGCACAGTGCATGCGAGCATTGGGCAGCAAAAAACGAAGCCTTCTGCATCGTGCGAGCAAGCATCCAGGGACAGATGGCACGAACACCTTTCGTTTCTCAGGCAGAATTTCCGTGACAAAATTGGCCCGGGTCTTCCACGAAACCACGAGTTGTACAGGCAGCACAGCTGCTCTCGTGGGTTGTGCACACAGATGCCAATGTTACCCTTGGCAGGCAGTTGAACCAAAAGCATGCTGGTGCCCTGAACGACGCGTTCTTTCATTACCAGCCCCTTGGCAAGACTTGGTTGGGCGAAGTGGCGAGCGCCTGCGCAATTACCGGCCCTGCTCCGAAGGAAGAGGCTCTTTGAGGCCGGCTGATGAAGACTCCTTCGGAGCCAACAGCTGACAGCAAACACCTGTGCTGAAGTTGGATGTTGTAGTCTTTGTATCGGCAGGCAGAAGGTGATTTCGATCGTGCGTGTGCCTCAAATTTTCGCCTTGTGAAAGATCTGAAGACAAACTTACTGCCAGAGTGCCAGCTTAGTTCATGTTTCTCGGGAGGCCATGTCACCTGATTTTGAGCTCGCATCCTGGAATTCCGGGCTTTTGGGAGCGCAGGGTTGCAGCGCTCATGGCGTGTTACTGCTGAGGACCAGCACTCCTCCACCTGATGCAAACTCCAGCTGGCCGGACATGAAGCTGAGCGTAAATGGTTCCGGAGAGAAAGTTGTTGAGGATGCACAGCTGGCAAGGGTTGCAACAGACTGTCAGGCTTTCCCCAGAGTGTCCTACCTCCACCAGTAAACGATGGTGTTTTTCGAGAGTTGGCGAGCCATTTGAGGAATGCCCTGCCTGAGTACAACAAGCAGCAGCCCAAGCGAGTCGATAGCATTTGGCGCAGCAGTCATTGAGTTGACAGATCAAGAGCAGAGGATGGGGTTGACTGCGAATGTGTGCGGGCGAACTTCTTACTGTTTTTGGCAGTTTTTGTGGTGTAGGTTGAGATGCGACTTTCCGGCAAGTGTACTTGACATAGGATCTCTCCCTGCTTTGTACCAAATGTCCCTTGCATGCTTTGCCCTTGCGCCTGACATGGTTGCGGGTCGGTCTTAAAGTGTCCTTGGCAGCGCAGGGCCAATGCACAGGTGCCAAGGTCAATCGCAAGAGCAGAAAACTGTAGAACTCTAGAGATGCTCGACCCGGCGTTTGATCCTGAAGTGGCATCCACTCTGAAGCAACATCACTCCTTGCAATTTAACAGTGTAGATAGAGCACTTCCCAGTCATGAATGGGGCAAGAAGCGCTTCTCAGATGCGCTGCGCCGTTACGAAAGACAGAGACACCGTTACGAACAGGCGGATAGTTTGTTCACCTGAAGATGGGAGCATCTCCACGATGTAGGAAGGACACGTTAGCGGTTGCATGGAAGGCTGCGCAAGGTCGTGGAACGTCTCAGCAGGAGGCGGGTGTTGTATGTGTCTGTGTGACATGTTGCTGCAAGTAGTGATAGGCTACTTGTGGACCCACTATCAATGGCTGCACAGCTTGCTGAGTGGCTCACATGGGCCAGATGAACCATGCTTTTACAGGGCCGATACTCGTGCGCTTGCGATCATGCAGGGGCTGGCTGCCTTCAGGATTTTACTGAGTATGTCGACTGTCATGAGACAGCGTAAATCAAAGGGGCACCCCGTCCGACAAGGTTGCAGGCAGCTTGCCAAGACCATGACAGGATACGTAGGCAAATGCCAAATACACGAGCAACAGATGTGATTTTCCGGTCATAAGCACCCAAGCACCCAGGGTGTTCCAGCATCCTTGTGAGCCATTGCGTGGCGGTCTCTCGCCTGTCTTATTTCATGCTACTACGCGCGTGGCCGACGCAGTTTTTCAGTTTTTTCAAGGGCAGTTGAATGCCATGCCTTGCCTAGCCTAGCCAGATGGTTCATGTATGTCACTATGTCAGATCATCACCCCCCGAGTCGCAGAGACCCACTGCGTTTAGGGAATTTTCTGCCGAAAGCTTCGGGATGCATGACTCGGCCGACCTACGCCGAATGACATCTGCGACAATGGAGCTTCCTGAGGAAACTGGATTGAAGTCCTGTTGGAATCGCCAGCTCGAGTGCTTGTCTGTCACCTGACTTCGTGATATGAAGTCGCAGGAACTTTCAAAATAAATGCAAGCACGCGCTCCAGAACTGGAGAGCAACGGCCGCCTGGCGAAGTGCTATGCTGGCGCTGCGAGCCTGCCCACCCACCCAAGCTGACAGGCAGTATAGGTACAAGCAGGAGTGCTTTCTTGCTGCATCTTCCCAGGTATCACTTTTGCAGCTCAGCTGGACAGCTAAATTCGTCGTTGTTTTCATGCGCACAGGCAGTTACAGCATGACGACGGATGCCAACTTTTGGCAAGTCTCACCCAGAAGATCTGAGGATAGAATTGCCCTCCCAAAGGGGGGACCTGACTCGTCGAGTGCAAGCGACGCTGAGGCCCCTTCAATCTGCGCGCAAGACAGGGCAGAGTGCCGCCACTGACAGGATGAAGACGCTGACGGTGTTGATGACCCACTTGCCAGACTTGCCGTGGACCCCGACCTGTCGACACAAGCACGCCGGCGGAGTTCCACGTGACCTTCCTGAAAACGTCATGCTTTTATACATGCAGTAGGCTGTACCGATGTATCGATTACGCAGGAACATGTCAGCCCCTTGTAGTTCCGAGAGATTGTTGGGCTGTCTCGTGTACCGAGGGGGCACCTCAACTTCGTTGACCAGGCAAGCTGCTGACAAACACCAACTGCAGCTTAGGGGCTGTTTCCGAACACAAGTTGCACCAGAGTCTCGTAGATAGAAGAGGTTCCCAGCATGTACAACCAGCAGCTTGTCTGCGTATTCTGTAGTTCGAATCTTACTTACGCACTTTCTTGTTGTTGGAGCGGTTTTTGTTTGTTGGCTTTCTGGCTTCTTGGTTTCTATTCGGTGCCACTCACAATCCCCTATGACATCACTCTTATGGTGGTGTCTGGATTGTAAATGTCGTTCATGTAGCTTGTCCTTGTACCGTCTATTTGGCCACGCCACTGCCAGCATTCTCAATGCAATGTGAAACTTCTCGGGCTGGGTATTGATTTCTCCTCAGCCTTAGGCCCGGTCGGCGATTTCCCGGACAGAAGGGGAGTCCTCAGAGGCCTCTTCTCGCGAGTCGCCGCATGTCTCCGCCGGCTCCTCCCGGCGAGCCTGCTTAGCTCCCGCCTTGCCCTTCACCACAAGTCCTCGCTCGGCGTCTCCCCCACTCTCTTGGAGGGAGCGAGCTCGCTCGCTCAGGCTTCCGCCCTGCCTTAGCAGCGGCCTTCGCAGCTTCCTTGGCAGCTGCCTGGACAAACCTCCTCTGGAGACCTCTCTCGCTTCGCAGCTGCCTTCGCGGCTTCCTTCGGGGAGGCCTCTCGCCTAGCAGCAGACGTAGGACCCAACCTCAGAGATGCCACCTTCTTAGCAGCCGCCTTAGCCGCTTCTTTTGGAGACGCTTCTCGCGTAGCAGCCGCCTTAGCCACTCCTTTAGGAAGCACTCCTTGCTTCGGCACTGCCCTCGCGGCCTCCCTTTTAGCCTTCTTAGGCTCCTGCTTAGGCGAGCCTTCAGCCTCCGGCACGGGACTCCCCTCGGGCGCGAAGACGCAGCCACCGAAGCGGAGCCGGCCAAAGTCCGAAACAGCTATCCATTCGGCGGACTCAGGTCCAGCACGGGCTTTAGGCTTTCGCGAACGCTCAACAGGACGGTCCTCGCTGGTGGGCCTCTCTTGTCACCTTTTCCTCCTGGGGGGGACTATTTCGAGGCGAGGCTGGGTGATATGAGCCGGAGCAGCTTTCGGAAACTTTTGGATATCCGGCTATCCACTGTTGGGTCGTATCCTTGAGCTCTATCCTGCTGGGGTGATGCAGCCCTATCATGCGGAGGGCGTTTTGCATCACCGTTAGCCTTAGCCGATTCTGCTCAGGATTCGCCGGCATAGCCCCCCTTGGAGGAAGCCTTCTTAAGCACGATCGTGCCTTTGCTATCCCATTGCGGGACGAGTGTCTCCGTATCTATCTCGTCCCGGGATAGCACCTCGCTCAGAGGCTCGGCTCGAAACTCTCCGGTTTCTAGCTCATGGAGTTTCTTTTCGATATGCTCCTTAGCCCCTTAGCCGGCACGTGCTTATCCTCGAGCTCTCCAAATTTATCCGAAAAAGCTGACCTCATAGCCATGTGGTCTGGGGAATGGGCTTCGGCCACTCCCTCAATTCGCTAGCCGCTTCTTGCTCGGCCTAATTCTTGGTTCTCGCCTTCGCAGTTTGTCAGGCAACCACGAAACTAGCCGCAAGAGCTCGATTGGTCAGGCTAGCCTCCGGCTCTATCGAAAACTCCTTCGCCAGGACCGTTTTAATGTCTTCCTCTTCCTCGCTGGTAAAACTCGCCGAAAACTTAGCCACCGTGCCTGTCCCGGACTTGAAGAGCACCGACTGTGCCTTATCCTCGACACGGTGCTGTGTCAACAAGTAGCGCAAGTCCGCAGAGCCTTTCGCTAGCTCTTCGATCTCGCCCATGGCTTGCACTAGCCACGAGATCGGACCCCCCCCGCGGGAAGTTCAACGCAAGCGAGCGGCTTCGAGAAGTACAAGGATTACCCCTTGGGCGACTACTGCTATGGGCCAAGGTCCAACGAGGAGCCTTGGAACCCGGATACGCCCCACCGTCCGGATAGAAAGGGCGAGTGCAAGGGCAACAAAGGTCAGAAGGGCAACGATGGCAAGAAGGTCAAAACGGGCAAGGCGAAGCAGGGCTACTCGAGGACACTGGAGGGAGAGCCGATCTGCTTCCGCTACAAGGCTAAGAACGGGTGCAAGAAGGGGGGATAAGTGCCACTTCAAGCACGTTTGCACGTGGTGCCTGGGTAGGCATCCGGCTACCAAGTGCAACCAGAAGGCTACTGGCGAAGCTGCGGTGGATAACTGACAGGTCGAGCCACCAACTACGCAGAGGCGATCCAGCAGCACCGTTCGTGCGCTATGCCTATTCTCCGGCAAGGATAGGGCTACTAGTGTCGATAAGCCCGATAAGCTGCGTGGTCCCAACGTGGCCATGCTGGATAAAGTCCCGAGGGGTAAATTTGAAGTACCCACCCTGCCCACCCGGGGATGGCTAGCCGAAGGCTAGCGACAATCTGCAGGCTAAGTGGGATTTGTGCCACATCCATGAAAAAGAGCGAGCTTTGGCGAGCGAGTGGTTGTTTTCCCATGTCGTCGTTACTCGGCTAGTGTTCCACTCTAGCTAGGCTTGCTAGTGATTAGGCGGAATGCCTGGGGATGGTGGTGGGTCGGTTCGGGCGCTATTGCACACACCCGGACATACGCACACTTGAACTGCTGCAAAAACCAAGGCAACCCCGTCACAGCATTTAAGAAAGCATGCCCAAATTTCTCGTGCACTCTTGTCATTCACGTTCTGCTTGTCATCTCCGTGTTTTGGTTCTCTTTTGTATTGCCACTACCATCGTGAACATCATACAGCCTGATTGACGGCCGAGGCAACTCTTGAGGCCAAAGCTTGTTGTACCTTCGGGATTATGCTACCCAGTACTTAAGGATCCAGGCGGCTAGATTTGTTTGCTATGTGCAGACTCCGACTGTCGCAGAACTGTTGGTGCAGCCATTTGGGATTCCCAGCTGCTCGACGTGTTGCATGTTGTATGTGCTGCATGTACTTAGGAAGCAGCACCACTTCGGCGGTGCCGTTACCAGTAACAGGCGATTACAAGACGGGGGCTTCCAAAGCTCATGCAATGACAACACTATCGCCACGAATCCTCCACGTTCCCCAAATAAAAAAAGTCAAAGATGAAACATCTGGCACAAGACTGTGGCACACGAAGATGCTGTGTGCACAACGTGTCGTTCTCGTTGTGCTTACTTCGGCCATCCTGGTGGAGGTATCCGCAGGCATTGGATCCTATTTGGCTCGGCTTGAAGCGAAGCATACGGAGAACACCACCGTGTACAATCGGTACTCGGGCTCAGCATGCAACCATGCTGAGCAGCGCATCAATTCTAGCATTGGCGGCTGGTAGCAACAGTGGGAGCTCAGCCAGAAACTTGTCCCTATTAGGTCTGCAGGACAAGAAGCTTCACGGCATGTGCCTGAGAACCGCAAAGCTCGGAAAGACGAGTGGCTTGTAGGTGCTTTGCACCACAGGTGGCAGGAATGCATCCGACGAGCGCCTTCGCCAGTGTTGCAGACGGTGGCTACAGGTTCTTCGAAGGAGAGAAGGTTCTGCAAACACCGTCGGTGGCAGCATGCACAGGTGTTCGGTCTGTGGGCAGACTGCAGTGTAAGCCTTCCAACTGGGCACCCTAGTCAGATTCTGCATGGAGTTGGAGTTTCCGGGATGGACTACTGCAAGCAGGTGCATTGCAGTCATAGCAGGGCTTCTTGAGGAAGACGTGTGTAAGCAGGAAGGCATCCGTGGAGCAGTCAAACAAACTTGCCTTTCGCCTCGTTTCATAAACAGATGTTTATGCATAGTCGGTCTGGTTCGCTTCGTGTTGCCTGGCAGTTTGTACCCAGTCCAGCTGCAAAACGGGTTGACGGCACGTGCTGGTTGCTGGCTCCTCAACCTGCCGGAGACTGTCAGCTGAATACCAGGAGACCTCTGCAGAAAGATCGGAGGATGGCGACGAGAAGGCAACTCATCCGGTGAATTCGAGATAACTAATCCAGCATGTTACAGGTGGGCGATGCAGCGAGGATTAAGATCAAGCACCCGCAGGGAGGTCGACCTCTGGACTCAGAGTTGGGATGCTTCGACAGCAATTGCAGTTCCCTCCCAGCTGGCGGAGTGTCCGCCAAGCCTGCCCAAGGACCATGCGTACCTCCGCAACACCTGGAATTTGCAGCTTGGGCAGCCAATCTGCGGGTTCCTTTAGGTAAATCCGTCAAGCCATTTGGAGTTGTGGAGTATCCTACAAGGAGAGCTTCCCTGGATCGGATGGTCGCCCGAGATTGTCTTTCTCAGCATCGCACTTTCACGGCAAGCTGATAAATGACCACTTGTCTTCTGTACCTGGAGAATTTACCTCATTCCCACCGACCAAACTGAGTTTCGAAAGTGGCAATCTGGCAGTGGCCCAGTGTGACAATCCCAACCAGTACACCCTGCTTGCTGCCTGGCAGCAAAAAGTCATGCCACCCGAGTCTGGCTGCGTGCATTGCTTGTCAGAGGTTGACGTTGATGCCAATACGGACGGGTACACGCAGTGGTTCTATTTTGCAGTACGCGGGGGAACTGTTAGTTCAAAGATCAATTTCCGCTTGATCAACATGGCCAAGTCCAGCTCTCTGTTTGGCACCTCGCCTGCCCGTCATTGCAGCCTTGGTGTTCGGGGGGGGGGGGGGGGNNTGCGTTCAGCGCTCTGTGGGCCGTATATGCAAGGCGATAAGGGCATGCGACCGGTGATTTGGAGCGAGAAGTCCGGAAGGGGCTGGGAGCGCGGTTGCAGCGATGAGACTTAGCCAGTTTATGCATGCATGCAGCAAATGCCGAGGTCTCTTTCATGGTGCTTGCGTGTGATGGGTTGTCCTGGTTAGCTCGCCACAGGTTAGTTATTCGGCAACGGAGTCCACCAAAGCATTGAATCCAGATTGCATGTATGCTGCCTGCACAAGAGCTGACTTGGATTGTCGGATGAGCTGCTAAGGACGTCACAGAAAAACTGTTTTACCCTGTCGTTTGCTTACACCTTCGAGTTCGAGGATGACACTATCTTCTTCGCGCGGCTTGTCACATGATTGTGGGGCTTTCACAGCCTCGGTGTCCATGGTTTCCTACACCATATCCAGAGCAACTTGAGAACGTGCCTGGCTATGCTGCTAGAAAATCGAAAACACGCAGACATTAAGCAGGTTTCTTTTGTTCTCGCTATTTCTCGCTTGTCTCTTTCTTCATCTTTTCAGACCACGACCTTCCTGATGACTTGGCTCTGTACAGGCCCCAGCATCGAAACCCACCCAACTCCTCTGCTCAACCTACATCCGCGAACCCCTAACTTTCAGAAGCTGACGCTCGGTTTGCCGATGCTGTCAAGAAGAAGTCGCTTGGCCGCTCCGACATAGCGGGCCCGGACCGGTTGAGGCAGCCATGGTGTGGTGTTCATGAGGTTCATGTTGCAGGCACATGGTGATGCAGATGGACTCTTGACCCGCAAGCGTTGTATGGATTCTCCGAGTTGCGAGAATCGAAACCCTAACACACCCTGCAAAGTTAGCCATCGCGATTGAATTGAGGCAGCCGAAACCTACATCTTCACTCCACTGTAATCCTCGCATCGGCGGTGTGGTTGGTTACGGGCAAGACTCACGTAGGAGTACCGGTGTGCAGACATTCTAGCCGATTGTACAATGATATGATGTTGAGGTACCACTATCCTTACACATACAGCTACCTCACGACTTTCATCAGCACGCTGGAAGCCGATCCTTATGCCGGCAAGCTGTTCAGTCGCAAGCCGCAGCTTGGATTGGCCCAGCGGAACGAGTTTCATGTGCAGAGAGATGCAACGGTCGACAGCTTGTGCCACAAGGCTTTGCGAAACCATAGGACCGGCATGACGGGGAATGCATTTATTCAGGAATGCATCCCTTTCTGGTTTCTTGCGCCATGCAGGAGGCTTGTCTTGCGAAGCCCTGGAAGTTGATTGCGTGGATTCCAACGCTCCGCAGCGAGGCTACTGGCATTTATCTAAACCTTTGTTGCTGTGCATGTTCGATCCTTCGTCGAAAGACAAGAGCTGTCTGAGAAGAGTCAACCTGGCTTGTTCAATCAGGGCGACTGTGTTGCAAATGCGAGAGACAGAGAAGGGTAATCGCCTCTGAACTGCAAACCACTGACAGCAAGGAATAAACAACGGCTCAGACAAAGACGAACTCCCTCCGCTCGTGGGGAGCAAGAAGAGCCGACGCAGCAGAATGCACGGAAGAACAGATGCCGAAAGCATGACTGACCAACCAACTACACAGAGCTCGCAAGACCGGCGAGCATTGTCAGCTTCGTGTGATAGAAAAGACTGCGACCGACCCGCTGCCACACGACGTTGCCATCCCCGCCAGATGAGGCCTGTGCGTATTGACGGCCAGAGTTCACCCCGGCGAGTCCAATGCTTCCTGGATGATGCTCCTCGGTCCAAGTGCTTGGTTGTTGGTCTTCGAGCGCTGGCTGAAATTACGTCTCTTCCGAGGCATGGATTTATACTATTCTTGCTCTCGCCCGCGGCTGAAGCTATCGCCTTGCGACAGGCTTGTTTGGCAGCCTCCTGCCCAGATCCTTCTCCGTACTGTACCTGTCCCTCTCCAGGCCTTCAAGTGGCTCATTATTCCTATGTTGAACCCTGATGGTGTAGCACGCGGCTCCTACAGATGCAGTTGGGGTCTGAGTGTTCAGGCGCCGCACAAACACATGCAGCAAACGGGTTTGCGACAGGTCTGGCTGGTACAGATCTTAACCGTCACTGCGATGCAACATAGAGTCTTTTCAGTGCTGGTGGGCTGAGCCCTACTGTTTTGTTGTAAAGACAACGACTGCTCGCCGCAAGTCTCTAAACCTCTGCTACGCTTGGTGTCGAGGAGCACTTGAGCGTACTGGTCACCAAGGCATGTATCTCAAGCCGAACAAAAGAATCCATCCAGAAATCTATCATTTGAAAGAAGTCATGAAGCGAGCTCCCGGCGGCGTGGAGATCTTTATCGAATCTTGTCCTTCAATGTGTCCCTCTGTAGCGAGCTAAGACAAGATGCTTGCACTGCAGGACTTCCATGGGCATTCCAAGAAAGAGGGCATTTTCTTCTATGGTGGTAAAGCTCATGCTGAAGACCGCATGACGAATGCCAGCATACAGTTGCTGCCAAGGCGGTGTGCAAGCCGAGCGCAGTGCAGCTAGCGATGGATTGCACCTGCCAGGCTCTGTGCACTGGGCTCTTCCGATTTCAGATGGAACAAGCCGCTGGGAAAACAAATGCCGCCATGGCAGACCGCTAGCTAGTTGTACGAGTTTCAGCAGGGCATGACGTTTGTACTAGCTGGCTTGTCTACCTCAGGTGTTCTTTCAACGTTTACGAGTCAAAGGTCTCGACAGCGCGACTGGTCGGGTTTCTGCAGCTCAAAATCCAAAGAGCATACACAGCCACTCTAATTCATCAGATTACTTGTGGACATGGATGGGTTTACACACACTCAAAGGTGGTACGGACGGGTTTCGGCCGAGGTGGAAGCTTCTTTCGCCACCAGTGGCAAGGTTTCCCTCGAAGAATTGTTCGCGGAGGTCCGTTGCTCATAGCCCTTGCCGTGCTCATCGCAGACTGGCTGGGCTGTCAACTCGAGGTGTGCGAGCAAAAATTGTCTGCAATTCAGGACGAAAATCACGACCGAGACGAGTTGCACCACGACAAATCTGAAGAGAAGGAGGAGGTCCAACATACATCGGCCAATCAGGAAATGGCGGAAGCAGCCGCCGCTGCTCTCCTGCAGCAGCTGGACGCTGGCTCGCAAAAGTTTGGTTTTTCCAGTTCAGGTTGCCGTGCTTGACTCTTATGCTGCGAGGACTTTCGGCTGCGTAAGTCTGCCTTAGGCATCCGGCGGGGAGCAGCGCAACAGATGCTTGTCCAGGAATATTTCGTCTTTCATGCTAGGTCAGTCGACATTTCTTGACTGCACCAGTGTTCCGGGGACTCAGCAAGCACAGCTCACGGAGTGTCCATGCAGCCGGGAGAAATGTATCTCAGGAAGGGACTCTAATTCTGCCGCTTTGGTTGCAGTTGCATTATTCCTGCACATAGAAGCTGCGATTCTTGCGGCGGGTGTTTCTATGTCTATGTTACAATTCCGGACACACTAAGGGCGCCAACCGCAGTCACTTGGCCTGAGCATGTTCATCTCATAAGCAGTATCTGTATTGGTCATCCCTTCGGGCAGGAAAAGTCACTCGGACAGATGCTCGGCTCAGTTGGCAAGCCGGCGAGGTTACAGGGGTGCCGAATGGCGAGACTAAGGACCTGGCCACAGTTGCAGCAGCTGCCGTGCTTGCTGCACCCGAGTCGACGAATCCCAGTCCACATCCTGAAAGCCCTGGAAGCAGGAGAGTCCGAAATAGGTGGCAGGTTCATATTCAATGGCGTCGCTCCACTCTTTCCTTTCTTGCCGACTTGTCAATCTATCCATGTGGGGTCGGCCGGGGTGTGGAAATTCAATCTCAACCCTTCAACCCTAACTTTTCTTGCAGTTTTGCCTGTTGCTTTTCCTGATCCATTACAAAGGCTACGCAGTCTTTCAATCTTGTGACATCATTATCAACACTCTATTGTTTTCAGTTTCTCACCTGCTCCAGACAACAGCAAAGTTTTTGAAGGAGAGCTGACTACAATCTTTTTGCTACTTCTGTGGCCATGTAAAAACGAGCTAGTAGAAACAACAGATCAACCTAGATAACAGCAGCCACAACCAATTGGGAACGTGTAACTGTAAATCTCGAGATCTAAGGACAGACACACATTTCCATTTCCGTGCTGTCAGTGGTGTACGCAGCTTAGGGTGCAGACAAATACGTCCGTATGAAACTGGCCGGCAGGCGCGTCAGCGGAGCTGCGAAAGCCGTGACGGACGAGGGTAAATGGGGTTTGCCAAAACTGAAGGTTTAAAATTTACTGCGCCTGCTATGCAAACGAACCTGTCAGCTCGGTTGGCTGTACAGCTTGAGCAGACAAGCTACCTCGCTCAGCACGGTGATGGTGACTCCGTGCTGCCTGGCAGACACAAGAAAACGGGAACCCCTATACTCAACATCAGAGGGCGGGGCCAGCTTCAGCTAGCGCCCGTCAGACCAAGCATGCTACAAGTTTGGCAAGAGCGCTCAGGACCTAATTCACAATTCGTCCCCAACTGGCGCCCAAACCAAAAAAAAGCAGGAACAGCCACGAGCCTAATCCGCCTCAAAGAACGGAGGCATACACAGAAGCTACACCCCGGACGGCATTTTCAAACGCACCGTGCTGGCCAAATAGCCGGACATGTACAAGGATTCTAGTGACATACTTGGCTGTTCACATTCCAAGAACTGTGTTGCTTCTGTTCCGGCGGAACGGCCGACAGGCTCGGCGCAAACCGTAACACACATCTTGACACAGCACTCTGGATGATGCCTAACACGACGATGTCTTCAAAACGGTGGCGTTGCCGACGAGCAACTTTATGAAAATCCGCATGCCCCCGGGCAAGTTCAGCACCACTTCAAACATGAGGTCCCTTGTGCTGCTGTCTGTCAGAAAGAAGGCCTCGTCTCACGGTTGGGCCTCCGTCCTTGTCAGATCCGTCGACTTTGCCGCAGCTGATTTATGCCACCTGATCCAGCTTCACGGTACTGGCCAACTTCTCCACAAATCCGCGAATACCGCCTCACGCCACATGACTGATAATCTCGTGGTTCTCTCTGCCGCCGACACAAGCTTCTCCCATAGCCGGGAGCAGATTCGAGTGGCTGCAGTTCCCAAGCAAAGCCGGCAGCCAAGGGCCGTTCATGCCTTGCGACATAGTAAGGTGGTGTCTACCATGACTCTCCTTCCTCCATGGCGGCACTTGCCGGGTGTACCACTTTGGTAGTACTGGGACTCTTCAACATTCCCCGCTGCCTTCCTGCTGTTGCTTTGTGGCAGTTGGTCCACGGCTGCTGAAGAAGGTAAGGAAGGTCTGTTTCTCGTTGGAAAACTTTTCGTGGACGCCTCTCGGCTGGAGCCGTCCAGTGTTGCGTTCCACACTCCTTTGCGCGTGCACTCATGGAGTCTGGATTCATCCAGTTTCAGCACCAACGCGGCTGTGGCAGTGATTGCAGGCGCACCGCTGGTCATTAACTCAGGTTCGGCGTGGTCCTTGCCTGCGCATGAAGGCACGGAGCGCAGTATGTAGAGCTTGTGTGCATCAGGACCCGAAGCTTCTGTGTGAGTTGGGTGAATCGTGACTCGTGACTGAGTCAAGAGCGGCTCGTGCCGTTGTTCTCCGACAGGGCATCTGCCATGTTGAAAGCACAATTGTGCGGATAGCACGCTTGGGGTGGTTTCTGCGAGGCTTTGTCCTGGCAGCCGGGACACGAGCACTCGAGATGGTCTTGGTCCGTTGGTCCGCAGTTGAACTGTCAGCGCAATAAATTGCGAGCTTTGGTGCTGCTCGGGACGCGTCCACAGGGGGTTTTCGACGAACTCCTCAAGCAAAGCTGGCGGTGAGGCCAAGGCCAAGACCAGACTCATGCTGTGTCATTCTACTAATACACACGTTATTCCAGATTGTAGCCTTCATTGGGTGCTGCGAGACCTGGCATCCGGCACGGACGACTAAAGGTTTTTGTTTGAACCCATGGTGAGGCCAATGCGTGTGACGGAACATGCTAGAATGCTAAATCTTCTGGGTAATCAAAGGTACCCCTTTCCGGTCCTGAAGAAAACCTCCTTTCGGGGAGGATGTCAGAAATCTGCGAACCTGATATCATGGTCGCCGAAACCATCCCCAAACCTGCCTCGAGCCGCTGGGCGACAGCTGGACGACAGGCGATGGCTTACACCATGCAGCAAATACCCTCTGCTGACCGGACGCGAACCTGCTCAAACGGGCTAGCACGGACCAACCGGAACAAGCGTCTTCTTGGTCGAGCAGCCGGCCTCCTGGTCAACCACAACCGGAAGATGAACCTGCAGCAGTATGGATCGAAGCTCCTGAAGGTGCAGTGGAGTCTTGCATTCAGGTTCACGAAGGAGAGTTCAGCATGGTGCCAAACCACCATCCTGGAAGCAACAAGACAACCTGATGAGTACCCTGAAAGTATCGATGAGACACCGAGATTCGCGAGCTCCTATCGAGCGTTACCTTAGACGTCTCGTGACCTACTTGGCTCGTTTGCAGTCCGTGATTCAGAACTCCGAAAATGGGCTTGCCTTGACTTGCTTACAGGCATACGTCAAGTTGGATCCTCGTGCGTGGCTGAGAATGTATTCCCGAATGCATCATGTATGTGACCTACAAGCTTGCGCACATCTTCTTGACCCAGCATTGCTCGTGGCTGCATCCCTCGGGACTGACGCCGCGGATATCTGCAATAAGCCTGACATCGCAGAGGAGTTGGAGACTGACACGTTGACTGCGGTCAGAGATATGAGAAATGGTTTGGCCATGGGTGGAAGCCCTGATGCTACTCCATTGAGGTCAGAAGAACCCCGCAATTCTGTGGGCGGACTTTGAGATCTGTGCGAAGAACAGTAGACCCATACTCACACTTGGGAAGCACTGGGGAGCAAGGGATGGTCAGACACCGCCAGAGTTACTCCCGCTTCTGCGGAAGGAATTTGCGATCTCAGCGTTGCACGCAGAACCCTCGGATCGGCTGAAGACCGTCGTCGAGAACATGCCTGTTCAGAACAGAGGGATGGCGACAGTTCACATTCACCTCTCATTGCAATCCGTGGTCATCGAGAACATGCTGTTCGCTTTGCACGAGAGTTCTGGCGATGTGAGGAAAGAAGCAGAAAGGATCTTGAGGGAAACCTATGGAATCCTATTCTCCAAACAATGAAGCTTGTTTCGCGCGCTCCAATCGTGGACATCAATCACAAATTTGGATTCATCTTTGGCGCGTGCTATGATGCTCGGAGGAGGAGTCAGTTCATCGGGTTGGCTGCCATTGGCGCCTACATCGCATTAGACCTCGGAGTTCGAGGCTGCGTAGTTGTGCATGGATCCTCATTTTGGTGCAAAAGGACAACGACAACGGTTCGCATCTTCTTTCTACTGATCCAGTCGGAAGTGGGGATACCCGATCATTGCATCGTCGCGCTTTTGCATTATACGAGAATCAGCTTTGTTGCGAGAAGATGGTTGCCGCATGCTTCATCCCGGAGCAACTGATCACCAAGTGAAGTGGGTTGATCAACGTTCAGACCATCAACCTGCCGGAATACGTGGAAACCTGGGAGGACAAACGACACGTCGCTTTTTCCTCGAACGGCGACTCAAGGTCATGGGTGTCTACGGAGAGACGTCAGGAGATCGAGATTGAAAGTGCAACAAACAGCTCTGCTGGGCGATCTTCCGTGGAATGGCAAAACTGCAATTCAACATCCCCCTGACAACTCCCGAGATCTACCACGACGAGAACTATTGCTGGCTCAAGATCGACGAGTATTCCACCACTGAGATCGCGGTGCGGAGGGCAAGACATTCTTTTGCAGCCATTGTAAACCGCAGAAATCAACAAGTTTTCTGCCAGGATACCACGAAGTTTGAAGATCCGGAATACCCCGCGTGCTGCATCGGATGTGCCTACAAGAATGCTCTTCGAACTTCTGCGTGGTCCATACCGGACTACGCAAAACTCAAAGTCGTCGAGCACGCTCTGGCATCGGCGAGCTACATCTATGACTATGACTCCAAGCTTCAGTTTCTTCGACCGCAACATGATCTGGTGCAATATCTGAAGCAGTGGGCTCCAATTGCGTACGAGGACCATGGCAAGAAAGAAGCCGCGTACGAGGGACTGAGAGTCTCACCGAACCTCGCTGTGTCATATGCAACTTGGGGCAAACAACCTATGCTGCATCGGTTACCACGATGCGTCAAATTCTGCCAACGCTGGTTACATGAAAAGAATATTTTCTGCTGAAGAAAGACCGAAGAGAACTCGTCTACACCGTGACGTGCTCCAAAGAGAAGTTGTTGGGAGACGTATCCGTGCTTACGTTTGTAATGAGGGGAGAGATCATCCTCGAAGGAATGCAGAGGTCGAAAGGTACATCAGTGAGATGACAGCAAGCTTTCCTGCGACTCGGTTTGAAGTTATCCCAACTTCCCGGACTCTGCATCCTGTTTCAGGGGTA